TATGGCACTTGTACTCCTATAAAATCCTAAATCTAGAATTGCCCAAGTTAGAGTTGGTTGTTATTATTATTATTACATGTGTTGTTATTAAATGTGCTTGACTTACAACAGTTTGCTTAGTGACAGTTCAAAGTTACAATGACGCTGAGAAAACTGACCATTTTTCAACTTACGACCGTTGCAGCATCCCCATGGTCATGTGATTTACACTTGGATGCTTGACAACTGACTCGCATTTATGACGGCTGCAGTGCCCTGGGGTCCCCCTTTGCGACCTTCTGACAAGCCGAGTCAAAGATTCACTTAACAGCCATGTTATAATTTAACAACCGCTGCGATTCACTTAACCAATGTGGCAAGAAAAATCATAAACTGGGGCAAAACTCACTTCACAATTTTTTTTCACTTAGCAACATAAATTTGGGGCTCAATTGTGATCGTAAGCTGAGGACTACCTGCATTGGCCACCTATCTCATTTCGAAGTAACTCTTTTTAACTTCGTTAAATATAGATGCCGAGATTTCGACTGCTACTTTGGCACAAAGTTTTCAGACGGTATTCCCCCTCAGTAAGGGCATCTAACGAAACCAAGGCTGTATTTTTAGCTGTGGTTTTCTCTAACGGTTGAAAGAAAGATTCAGTTGTGTCGGGAGAGTTTTACACAGCTTTGCTTTTGTGTGCCAGTGAGGCCTGGTACTCATGCGCTGATTGGATTACTGCAGTGCGGTCTACATGGGGCTGCCCTTGAAGAGTATCCCATAGCTTCGGCTTGTGCAAAACGCACGGGTGTCGGCAATTCTAAGTGCTTCCAAACTGCACGAGTTCACACCTCTGCTCACAGAGCTGCATGGGTTGACAGTTTATTTCTGGCTCTCAAGATTCAAGATTTTGACCCCTAAAGCCCTTTATGGCATAGTAACTAGGTTATTTGGCGGAACGGTTTTGTCCTGGTTTCATCTGTTCATCCCCTCAGATCCAGCAAGAAAGAGGACGGCCGTCTCTCTCAGGGAACGACACCTGGTGGGCCTGAGGAGGTGGGCCTTCTCTGCTATGGCGCCTGCCTAAGGCTGCTTCTAAAGCTTGGCCGTCTTTATTAATTTACGTCCATTTTTTCCCCTCACTCTGCTCCTTAACTTTAGTACTACATCTTGAAGATATCTTCCTTGGTGGAATTAAAATTGGAAGACCTGAGGCAAAACAGGCCATTTCTGCCCAATTGATACTTGGCCAAACACGTGTTGTGGCTTGGTTTGTTTACAATATTCTGAAACATACAGTGCATGCGATACAATGAAATAGAAGGATGGGTTTATTTCTGGCCTGTTTTAATCCAGGTTATGAATGGGAGAACATCAAGAAATCCTGGGACAGAAAGAAAAACCAGGAAGTTAAAAACTTGCTGGGAAAAGAAAGAAACTATTTCCATATTATTGCTAAGAAAATGTGAATGTATCCCCTTGGTTGTAGTAGTTGAGTCTGAATTGAAGCTATTATACAAAGAGAACTAAAAGTCTTTAAGCTTTAAAAGCTTAAAAGAATATATGTATGTATGTATGTATACACACATACATACATACATACATACAGTATATGTGTGTGTGTGTGTATATATATATACACACACACGTGTGTGTATGTATATATGTATATATGTATATGTATGTATGTGTACATATGTATATGTATATGATGTATATGTATATGTATATGTATATGTATATGTATATATATATATATATATGTATAGATGTATAGATGTATAGATGTATAGATGTATAGATGTATAGATGTATAGATGTATAGATGTATAG